ACGAGCATGGCTGGTCCACGAGCTTGCCTGGTCTAGGAGCTTGCCTGGTCTAGGACCTTGCCTGGTCTAGGAGCTTGCCTGGTCCAGGAGCGTGCCTGGTCGAGGAGCTTGCCTGATCCAGGAGCTTGCCTGGTCCAGGAGCTTGCCTCGTCCAAGATCTTGCCTGGTCTAGGAACTTGCCATGTCCAGGAGCGTTCGTGGTCCAGGAGCTTGCCTGGTCTAGGAGCTTGCCTGGTCCAGGAGCTTGCCTCGTCCAAGATCTTGCCTGGTCCAGGAGCTTGCCTGGTCCAAGAGCTTGCCCGGTCTAGGAGCTTGCCGGGTCCAGGAGCGTGCCTGGTCCAGGAGCTTGCCTAGTCCAGGAGCTTGCCTGGTCCAAGAGCTTGCCTGGTCCAGGAGCTTTGCCTGGTCCAGGAGCTTGCCTGTACCAGGAGCGTGCCTGGTCCATGAGCCTGCCCTGTCCTGGAGCTTTCTTGGTCCGTTAGCTTGCCTTGGACCAGGCAAGCTCCAGGATCAGGCAAGCTCTAGAACCAGGCAAGCTCCTGGACCAGGCAAGCTCCTAGACAAGGCAAGCTTATGGACTAGGCACTCTCCTGGACCAGACACATTCCAGGACCAGGCACGCTCCTAGACGAGGCCAGCTCCTGAACCAGGCAAGCTCCTTGACGAGGCAAGCTCTTGGACCAGGCAAGCTTGTGGACTAGGCAAGCTCTTGGACCAGGCAAGCTCTTGGACCAGGCAAGCTCTTGGACCAGGCAAGCTCTTGGACCAGGCAAGCTCTTGGACAAGGCAAGCTCTTGGACCAGGCAAGCTCTTGGACCAGGCAAGCTCTTGGACCAGGCAAGCTCCTAGACAAGGCAAGCTCCTGGCCCAGGATAGCTCTTGGACCAGGCAAGCTCCTGGACCAGGCACGCTCCTGGACCATGCAAGCTCCTAGACCAGGCAAGCTCCTAGACCAGGCAAGCTTGTGGACCAGGCAAACTCGTGGACGAGGCATGCTCCTGGACTAGGCAAGCTCCTGGACCAGGCAAGCTCCTAGACCAGGCAAGGTCCTGGACCAGGCAAGCTCCTGGACCACGAAAGTTCTTGGACCAGGCAAGCTCTTGGACCAGGCAGGGTCCTAGACCAGGCAAGCTCCTGGACTAGGCAAGCTCCTTGACCACGCAAGCTCCTGGACCACGCAAGCTCTTGGACCAGGCACGCTCTTGGACCAGGCAAGCTCTTGGACCAGGCAGGCTTCTGGACCAAGCAAGCTCTTGGACCAGGCAAGCTCATGGACCAGGCTAGCTCCTGGATCAGGCACGCTCCTGGACCGTACACGCTCGTGGACCAGGCAAGCTCTTGGACCAAGCAGGCTTGTGGACCAGGCAAGCTCCTAGACCAGGCAATCTCGTGGACTAGGCAAGCTCCTTGACCACGCAAGCTCGTGGACCAGGCAATCTTCTGGACCAGGCAAGCTTCTGGACCAAGCAAGCTCTTGGACTTGACAAGCTCCTAGACCACGCAATATCCTTGACAAGGCAAGCTCCTGGACCAGGCAAGCTCCTGGACCAGGCAAGCTCCTGGATCAGGCAAGCTCCTCGACCACGCAAGCTCCTGGACCAGGCAAGCTCCTGGACCATGCAAGCTCCTAGACCAGGCAAGCTCCTGGACCAGGCAAGCTTCCGGACCAGGCACGCTCTTGGACTAGGCAAGCTCCTAGACCAGGCAAGCTCCTAGACTAGGCAAGCTCCTGGACCAGGCAAGCTCCTAGACCACACAAGCTCTTGGACCAGACAAGCTCTTGGACAAGGCAAGCTCCTGGACCAGGCAAGCTCCTGGACCAGGCAAGCTCCTCGACCACGCAAGCTCCTGGACCAGGCAAGCTCTTAACCCAGACACGCTCCTGGACCAGGCAAGCTCTTGGACCAGGCAGGCTTCTGGACCAAGCAAGCTCTTGGACCAGGCAAGCTCTTGGACCATGAAAGCTCCTGGACCAGGCAAGCTCTTGGACCAGGCACGCTCCTGGACCAGGCAAGCTCATGGACCAGGCAAGCTCGTGGATCACGCACGCTCCTGGACCAGGCAAGCTGCTGGACCAGGCAAGCTCTTGGACCAGGCAAGCTCTTGGACCAGGAAAGCTCCTAGACCAGGCAAGCTCCTGGACCAGGCAAGCTAACGGACCAAGAAAGCTCCTGGACAAGGCAAGCTCCTGGACCAGGCACGCTCGTGGAACAAGCACGCTCCTGGACCAAGCAAGCTCCTAGACCAGGCAAGCTCCTAGACCAGGCAAGCTGCTGGACCAGGCAAACTCCTAGACCAACCTCCACGAGCTTGCCTTGTCCAGGAGCTTTCATGGTCCGTTAGCTTGACTGGTCCAGGAGCTTGCGCGGTCCAGGAGCTTGTCTGGTCCAAGAGCTTGCGTGGTCGAGGAGCTTGCCTAGTCTAGGAGCTTGCCTGGTCCAGGAGCGTGCGTGGTACAGGAGCTTGCCAAGTCCAGGAGCTTGCAATGTCCAGGAGCTTGCCTGGTCCAGGAGCTTGCCTCGTCTAGGAACTTGCCTGGTCCAGGAGCGTGCCCGGTCCACGAGCTTGCTTGGTCCAGGAGCTTCCTTGGACTGGGAGTTTGCCTGGTCCAAGATATTGCCTGGTCCGGGAGCTTGCCTTGTCCAGAAGCTTGCGTGGTCCAGGAGCTTGCCAGGTCCAGGAGCTTGCTTGGTCTAGATGCCTGCCTGGTCCAAGAGCTTGCGTCGTCCAGGAGCTTGCTTGGTCCAGGAGCTTGCTTGGTCCAGAAGCGTGCCTGGTCCAAGAGCTTGCCTGGTCCAGGAGCGTGCCTGGTCCAAGAGCTTGCATGGTCTAGGAGCTTGCCTCGTCCAGGAGCTTGCCTGGTCAAGGAGCGTGCTTGGTCCATGAGGTTGCCTGTTCCAGGAGCGTGCCTAGGCTAGGAGCGTGCCTGGTCCACGAGCGTGCCTGGTCCAGGAGCTTGCGTGGTCCAAGAGCTTGCCTGGTCCAAGAGCGTGCCTGGTCCAAGAGCTTGCCTGGTCCAGGAGTGTGCCTGGTCCACGAGTGTGCCTGGTCCAGGAGCTTGCTTGGTCCAGGATCTTGCCTGGTCCAAGAGCCTGCCTGGTCCACGAGCTTGCCTGGTCCAGGAGCTTGCGTGGTCCAGGAGCTTGCTTGGTCCAGAAGCCTGCCTGGTCCAAGAGCTTGCCTGGTCCACGAGCTTGCCTGGTCAAGGAGCTTGCCTGGTCTAGCAGCTTGCCTGGTCCAAGAGCCTGCCTGGTCCACGAGCTTGCGTGTTCCACGAGCCTGCCCGGTCTAAGAGCTTGCGTGGTTTAGGAGCTTGCCTGGTCCAGGAGCTTGCCTGGTCCAGGAGCGTGCCCGGTCCATGAGCTTGCCTGGTCCAGGAGTTTGCCTGGTCCAGGACCTTGCCTGGTCTAGGAGCTTGTCTGGTCCAAGAGCGTGCCTGGTCAACGAGCGTTCCTGGTCCAGGAGCTTGCGTGGTCCATGAGCTTGGCTGGACCAGGATCTTGCCTGGTCCAGGAGCTTGCCTTGTCCAGCAGCTTGCCCGGTCATGAAGCCTACCTGGTCCAAGAGCTTGCCTGGTCCAAGAGCGTGCCTTGTCTAAGAGCTTGCGTGGTCCAGGAGCTTGCCTGGTCTAGGAGCTTGCCTGGTCCAGGAGCGTGCCTGGTCTAGGAGCTTGCCTGGTCAAGGAGCTTGCCTGGTCCACGAGCTTGCCCGGTCCACGAGCTTGCCTGGTCCAGGAGCTTGCCTGGTCCAGGAGCTTGCCTGGTCTAGGATCTTGCCTGGTCCAGGACCGTGCCTGGTCCACGAGCTTGCATGGTCCGGGAGCTTGGCTGGTCCAGGAGCTTGCCTGGTCCAAGAGCTTGCCTGGTCCAAGAGCTTTTGTGGTTTAGGAGCATGCCCTGTCCAGGAGCTTGGCTGGTCCACGAGCATGGCTGGTCCACGAGCTTGCCTGGTCTAGGAGCTTGCCTGGTCCATGACCTTGCCTGGTCTAGGAGCTTGCCTGGTCCAGGAGCGTGCCTGGTCGAGGAGCTTGCCTGATCCAGGAGCTTGCCTGGTCCAGGAGCTTGCCTCGTCCAAGATCTTGCCTGGTCTAGGAGCTTGCCAGGTCCAGGAGCGTTCGTGGTCCATGAGCTTGCCTGGTCTAGGAGCTTGCCTGGTCCAGGAGCTTGCCTCGTCCAAGATCTTGCCTGGTCCAGGAGCGTGCCTGGTCCACGAGTTTGCCTGGACCAGGAGCTTGCCTGGTCCAAGAGCTTGCCCGGTCTAGGAGCTTGCCGGGTCCAGGAGCGTGCCTGGTCCAGGAGCTTGCTTAGTCTAGGAGCTTGCCTGGTCCAAGAGCTTGCCTGGTCCAGGAGCTTTGCCTGGTCCAGGAGCTTGCCTGTTCCAGGAGCGTGCCTGGTCCAGGAGCCTGCCCTGTCCTGGAGCTTTCTTGGTCCGTTAGCTTGCAATGGACCAGGCAAGCTCCAGGATCAGGCAAGCTCCAGGACCAGGCAAGCTCCTGGACCAGGCAAGCTCCTAGACGAGGCAAGCTTATGGACTAGGCACTCTCCTGGACCAGACACATTCCATGACCACGCACGCTCCTAGACGAGGCCAAGCAAGCTCCTTGACGAGGCAAGCTCTTGGACTAGGCAAGCTTGTGGACTAGGCAAGCTCTTGGACCAGGCAAGCTCTTGGACCAGGCAAGCTCCTTGACCAGGCACGCTCCTAGACGAGGCAAGCTCATGGACTAGGCACGCTCCTAGACAAGACACATTCCAAGACCAGGCACGCTCCAGGACCAGGCCAGCTCCTGGACAAGGCAAGCTCCTTGATGAGGCAAGCTCCTGGACCAGGCAAGCTTGTGGACCCGGCATGCACCTGGACCTGACAAGCTCTTGCACCTGGCAAGGTCTTGGACCAGTGAAGCTCCAGGACAAGGCAAGCTCTTGGACCAGGCAAGCTCCTGGACCAGGCAAGCTCCTCGACCAAGGACGCTCCTGGACCAGACAAGCTCTAGGACGAGGCTAGCTCGTGGACCAGGCAAGCACCTGGACCAGGCACGCTCCTGGACCAGGCACGCTCCTGGACCAGGCAAGCTCCTGGACCACGTCCATGTCCACGTCCACGTCCACGTCCACGTCCATTTCTACGTCCACGTCCACGTCCACTTCCACGTCCACGTCCATGTCCACGTCCACGTCCACGTCCACGTCCACGTCCACGTCCTCGTCGTCGTCCACGTCCACGTCCACGTCCACGTCCACGTCCAGGTCCACGTCCACGTCCACGTCCACGTCCACGTCCACGTCAACGTCCACGTCCACGTCCACGTCCATGTCCTCCACGTCCACGTCCAGGTCCATGTCCAGGTCCACGTCCACGTCCACCTCCACGTGCACGTCCATGTCCAGGTCCACGTCCACGTCCACCTCCACGTCCACCTCCACGTGCACGTCCACGTCCAGGTCCATGTCCATGTCCACGTCCACGTGCACGTCAACGTCCAGGTCCAGGTCCAGGTCCACGTCCACGTCCACGTCCACGTCCACGTCCATTTCTACGTCCACGTCCACGTCCACGTCCACGTCCATGTCCTCCACGTCCTTGTCCACGTCCTCGTCCACGTCAACGTCCAGGTCCAGGTCCACGTCCACGTCCACATCCACGACCACGTCCACGACCACGTCCACGTCCACGTTCACGTCCACGTCCACGTCCACGTCCACGTCCACGTCCACGTCCTCGTCCTCGTCCACGTCCACGTCCACGTCCACGTCCAGGTCCACGTCCACGTCCACGTCCACGTCCACGTCCACTTCTACGTCCACGTCCACGTCCACGTCCACGTCCATGTCCTCCACGTCCACGTCCACGTCCTCGTCCACGTCAACGTCCAGGTCCAGGTCCACGTCCACGTCCACGTCCACGACCACGTCCACGACCACGTCCACGTTCACGACCACGTCCACGTCCACGTTCACGTCCACGTCCACGTCCTCGTCCTCGTCCACGTCCACGTCCACGTCCACGTCCACGTCCATGTCCACGTCCACGTCCACGTCCACGTCCTCCACGTCCACGTCCACGTCCACGTCCTCCACGTCCACGTCGTCCTCCACGTCCCCGTCCACGTCCACCTCCACGTCCACGTCCACCTCCACGTCCACGTCCACGTCCACGTCCACGTCCACGTCCACGTCCATTTCCACGTCCACGTCCACGTCCATTTCCACGTCCACGTCCACGTCCACGTCCACGTCTACGTCCACGTCCACGTCCACGTCAACGTCCACGTCCACGTCCACGTCCACGTCCACGTCCCCGTCCACGTCCCCGTCCACGTCCACGTCCACGTCCGCGTCCACGTCCACGTCCGCGTCCGCGTCCACGTCCGCGTCCACGTCCGCGTCCACGTCCGCGTCCACGTCCACGTCCGCGTCCGCGGCCACGTCCGCGTCCGCGTCCACGTCCATGTCCATGTCTACGTCCAGGTCCACGTCCAGGTCCACGTCCACGTCCACGTCCATGTCCACGTCCACGTCCACTTCCACGTCCACGTCCATGTCCACGTCCACGTCCACGTCCACGTCCACGTCCATTTCTACGTCCACGTCCACGTCCACGTCCACGTCCATGTCCACGTCCACGTCCACGTCCATGTCCATGTCCACGTCCATGTCCATGTCCACGTCCACGTCCACGTCCATGTCCACGTCCACGTCCACGTCCATTTCTACGTCCACGTCCACGTCCACGTCCACGTCCACGTCCATTTCGACGTCCACGTCCACGTCCACGTCCACGTCCAGGTCCATGTCCACGTCCACGTCCACGTCCATGTCCACGTCCATTTCTACGTCCACGTCCATGTCCACGTCCACGTCCATGTCCACGTCCACGTCCACGTCCATGTCCACGTCCACGTCCACGTCCATGTCTACGTCCAGGTCCACGTCCAGGTCCAGGTCCACGTCCACGTCCACTTCGACGTCCACGTCCACGTCCACGTCCACGTCCACGTCCACGTCCACGTCCATTTCTACGTCCACGTCCACGTCCACGTCCATTTCCACGTCCACGTCCACGTCCACGTCCACGTCCACGTCTACGTCCACGTCTACGTCCATTTCTACGTCCACGTCCACGTCCACTTCCACGTCCACGTCCACGTCCACGTCCACGTCCACGTCCATTTCTACGTCCACGTCCACGTCCACTTCCACGTCCACGTCCATGTCCACGTCCACGTCCACGTCCACGTCCACGTCCACGTCCACGTCCACGTCCATGCCTACGTCCAGGTCCACGTCCAGGTCCAGGTCCACGTCCACGTCCACTTCGACGTCCACGTCCACGTCCACGTCCACGTCCACGTCCATGTCCACGTCCACGTCCACGTCCACGTCCACGTCCACGTCCATTTCTACGTCCACGTCCACGTCCACGTCCATGTCCACGTCCACGTCCATGTCCATGTCCATGTCCACGTCCATGTTTATGTCCACGTCCACGTCCACGTCCATGTCCACGTCCACGTCCATTTCTATGTCCACGTCCACGTCCACGTCCACGTCCACGTCCACGTCCACGTCCACGTCCATTTCGACGTCCACGTCCACGTCCACGTCCACGTCCAGGTCCACGTCCACGTCCACGTCCATGTTTACGTCCACCTCCACGTCCACGTCCACGTCTACCTCCACGTCCACGTCCACGTCCACTTCCACGTCCACGTCCACGTCCACTTCCACCTCCACGTCCACGTCCACGTCCACAACCACGTCCACGTCCACGTCCATTTCTACGTCCACGTCCATTTCTACGTCCACGTCCAGTTCTACGTCCACGTCCACGTCCACGTCCACGTCCACGTCCACGTCCATTTCGACGTCCACGTCCACGTCCACGTCCATTTCCACGTCCACGTCCACGTCCACGTCCACGTCCACGTCCATTTCTACGTCCACGTCCACGTCCACTTCCACGTCTCTGTCCACGTCCATTTCTACGTCCACATCCATTTCTACGTCCACGTCCACGTCCACGTCCACGTCCACGTCCACGTCCACGTCCATTTCGACGTCCACGTCCACGTCCACGTCCATTTCCACGTCCACGTCCATTTCAACGTCCACGTCCACGTCCACATCCACGTCCACGTCCACGTCCACGTCCACGTCCATTTCTACGTCCACGTCCACGTCCACTTCCACGTCCACGTCCATGTCTACGTCCACGTCCACGTCCACGTCCACGTCCATTTCTACGTCCACGTCCACGTCCACTTCCACGTCCACGTCCATGTCCACGTCCACGTCCACGTCCACGTCCACGTCCATGTCTACGTCCAGGTCCACGTCCAGGTCCAGGTCCACGTCCACGTCCACTTCGACGTCCACGTCCACGTCCACGTCCATGTCCACGTCCACGTCCACGTCCACGTCCACGTCCATGTCTACGTCCACGTCCACGTCCACGTCCACGTCCATGTCCACGTCCACGTCCACGTCCATGTCCACGTCCATGTCCATGTCCACGTCCACGTCCATGTCCACGTCGACGTCCACGTCCATTTCTACGTCCACGTCCATTTCGACGTCCACGTCCACGTCCATTTCCACGTCCACGTCCACGTCCACGTCCACGTCCACGTCCATTTCTATGTCCACGTCCACGTCCACTTCCACGTCCACGTCCACGTCCATTTCTACGTCCACGTCCACGTCCACTTCCACGTCCACGTCCATGTCCACGTCCACGTCCACGTCCACGTCCACGTCCATGTCTACATCCAGGTCCACGTCCAGGTCCAGGTCCACGTCCATGTCCACTTCGACGTCCACGTCCACGTCCACGTCCACGTCCACGTCCACGTCCATGTCCACGTCCACGTCCACGTCCACGTCCACGTCCATTTCTACGTCCACGTCCACGTCCACGTCCACGTCTATGTCCATGTCCACGTCCATGTCCACGTCCACGTCCACGTCCATGTCCATGTGTACGTCCACGTCCACGTCCACGTCCATGTCTACGTCCACGTCCACGTCCACGTCCACGTCCACGTCCATGTCCACGTCCATGTCCTCGTCCATGTCCACGTCCAGGTCCACGTCCAGGTCCACGTCCACGTCCACTTCCACGTCCACGTCCACGTCCAGGTCCACGTCCAGGTCCACGTCCACGTCCACGTCCACGTCAACGTCCACGTCCACGTCCACGACCACGTCCACGTCCACGTCCACGTCCTCCACGTCCTCGTCCACGTCCTCCATGTCCTCGTCCACGTCCTCCACGTCCTCGTCCACGTCCTCCACGTCCACGTCGTCCACGTCCACGTCCACGACCACGTCCACGTCCATGTCCACGACCACGACCACGTCCATGTCCACGTCCACATCCATGACCACGTCCACGTCCACGTCCACGTCCAAGACCATGACCACGTCCACGACCACGACCACGTTCACGTCCACGTCCACGTCCACAACCACGTCCACGTGCACGTCCAGGTCCACGTGCACGTGCACGTCCATTTGTACGTCCACGTCCATTTCTACGTCCACGTCCACGTCCACGTCCACGTCCACGTCCACGTCCACATCCATGTCCACGTCCATGTCTACGTCCACGTCCACGTCTACGTCCACGTCCACGTCCACGTCCACGTCCAATTCTACGTCCACGTCCACGTCCACGTCTACGTCCACGTCCATGTCCATGTCCACATCCATGTCCATGTCCACGTCCACGTCCATGTCCATGTGCACGTCCACGTCCACGTCCACGTCCATGTCCACGTCCACGTCCACGTCCATGTCCACGTCCATGTCTACGTCCTCGTCCAGGTCCACGTCCAGGTCCACGTCCAGGTCCACGTCCAGGTCCACGTCCACCTCCACGTCCACTTCCACGTCCACGTCCACGTCCACGTCCACGTCCTCCACGTCCTCGTCCACGTCCTCCACGTCCACGTCCACGTCCTCCACGTCCACGTCCTCCACGTCCACGTCCATGTCCACGACCACGACCACGTCCATGTCCACGTCCACGTCCATGACCACGCCCACGTCCACGTCCACGTCCACGACCACGACCACGTCCACGTTCATGTCCACGTCCACGTCCATGTCCACGTCCACGTCCACGTCCACGTTCACGTCCACGTCCACGTCCATGTCTACATCCATTTCCATGTGCACGTCCACGTCCACGTCCACGTTCATTTCTACGTCCACGTCCACGTCCAAATCCACGTCCACGTCCATGTCCACGTCCATGTCCACGTCCACGTCCACGTCCACGTCCATGTCCACGTCCACGTCCACGTCCATGTCCACGTCCACGTCCACGTCCACGTCCACGTCCACGTCCATTTCTACGTCCACGTCTACGTCCACGTCCACGTCCATGTCTACGTCCACGTCCACGTCCACGTCCATGTCCACGTCCATGTCCACGTCCATGTCCACGTCCATGTCCACGTCCACGTCCATGTCCACGTCCACGTCCATGTCCTTGTCCACGTCCATGTCCACGTCCACGTCCATGTTCACGTCCATGTCCACGTCCACGTCCACGTCCATGTCCACGTCCACGTCCACGTCCACGTCTATGTCCACGTCCACGTCCACGTCTACGTCCATGTCCACGTCCACGTCCATGTCCATGTCCACGTCCAAGTCCACGTCCATGTCCACGTCCACGTCCACGTCCACAACCACGTCCACGTGCACGTCCAGGTCCACGTGCACGTGCACGTCCATTTGTACGTCCACGTCCATTTCTACGTCCACGTCCACGTCCACGTCCACGTCCACATCCATGTCCACGTCCATGTCTACGTCCACGTCCACGTCTACGTCCACGTCCACGTCCACGTCCACGTCCACGTCCACGTCCACGTCCACGTCCAATTCTACGTCCACGTCCACGTCCACGTCTACGTCCACGTCCATGTCCATGTCCACATCCATGTCCATGTCCACGTCCACGTCCACGTCCATGTGCACGTCCACGTCCACGTCCACGTCCATGTCCACGTCCACGTCCACGTCCACGTCCAAGTCCACGTCCATGTCTACGTCCTCGTCCAGGTCCACGTCCAGGTCCACGTCCAGGTCCACGTCCACCTCCACGTCCACTTCCACGTCCACGTCCACGTCCACGTCCACGTCCTCCACGTCCTCGTCCACGTCCTCCACGTCCACGTCCACGTCCTCCACGTCCACGTCCTCCACGTCCACGTCCATGTCCACGACCACGACCACGTCCATGTCCACGTCCACGTCCATGACCACGCCCACGTCCACGTCCACGTCCACGACCACGACCACGTCCACGTTCATGTCCACGTCCACGTCCATGTCCACGTCCACGTCCACGTCCACGTTCACGTCCACGTCCACGTCCATGTCTACGTCCATTTCCATGTGCACGTCCACGTCCACGTCCACGTTCATTTCTACGTCCACGTCCACGTCCAAATCCACGTCCACGTCCATGTCCACGTCCATGTCTACGTCCACGTCCACGTCCACGTCCATGTCCACGTCCACGTCCACGTCCAGGTCCACGTCCACGTCCACGTCCACGTCCACGTCCACGTCCACGTCCATTTCTACGTCCACGTCCACGTCCACGTCCACGTCCATGTCCACGTCCACGTCCACGTCCACGTCCATGTCCTCGTCCATGTCCACGTCCATGTCCACGTCCATGTCCACGTCCACGTCCAGTCCACGTCCATGTCCTTGTCCACGTCCATGTCCACGTCCACGTCCATGTCCACGTCCATGTCCACGTCCACGTCCACGTCCACGTCCATGTCCACGTCCACGTCCACGTCCACGTCTATGTCCACGTCCACGTCCACGTCTACGTCCATGTCCACGTCCACGTCCATGTCCATGTCCACGTCCAAGTCCACGTCCATGTCCACGTCCACGTCCACGTCCACAACCACGTCCACGTGCACGTCCAGGTCCACGTGCACGTGCACGTCCATTTGTACGTCCACGTCCATTTCTACGTCCACGTCCACGTCCACGTCCACGTCCACATCCATGTCCACGTCCATGTCTACGTCCACGTCCACGTCTACGTCCACGTCCACGTCCACGTCCACGTCCACGTCCACGTCCACGTCCAATTCTACGTCCACGTCCACGTCTACGTCCACGTCCATGTCCATGTCCACATCCATGTCCATGTCCACGTCCACGTCCATGTCCATGTGCACGTCCACGTCCATGTCCACGTCCACGTCCATGTCCACGTCCACGTCCATGTCCACGTCCATGTCCACGTCCACGTCCACGTCCACGTCCATGTCTACGTCCACGTCCACGTCCACGTCTATGTCCACGTCCACGTCCACGTCTACGTCCATGTCCACGTCCACGTCCATGTCCATGTCCACGTCCAAGTCCACGTCCATGTCCACGTCCACGTCCACGTCCACAACCACGTCCACGTGCACGTCCAGGTCCACGTGCACGTGCACGTCCATTTGTACGTCCACGTCCATTTCTACGTCCACGTCCACGTCCACGTCCACGTCCACGTCCACGTCCACATCCATGTCCACGTCCATGTCTACGTCCACGTCCACGTCTACGTCCACGTCCACGTCCACGTCCACGTCCACGTCCACGTCCACGTCCAATTCTACGTCCACGTCCACGTCTACGTCCACGTCCATGTCCATGTCCACATCCATGTCCATGTCCACGTCCACGTCCATGTCCATGTGCACGTCCACGTCCACGTCCACGTCCATGTCCACGTCCACGTCCACGTCCACGTCCACGTCCACGTCCACGTCCACGACCACGACCACGTCCACGTTCATGTCCACATCCACGTCCATGTCCACGTCCACGTCCATGTCCACGTTCACGTCCACGTCCACGTCCATGTCTACATCCATTTCCATGTGCACGTCCACGTCCACGTCCACGTTCATTTCTACGTCCACGTCCACGTCCAAATCCACGTCCACGTCCATGTCCACGTCCATGTCCACGTCCACGTCCACGTCCACGTCCATGTCCACGTCCACGTCCACGTCCATGTCCACGTCCACGTCCACGTCCACGTCCACGTCCACGTCCATTTCTACGTCCACGTCTACGTCCACGTCCACGTCCATGTCTACGTCCACGTCCACGTCCACGTCCATGTCCACGTCCATGTCCACGTCCATGTCCACGTCCATGTCCACGTCCACGTCCATGTCCACGTCCACGTCCATGTCCTTGTCCACGTCCATGTCCACGTCCACGTCCATGTCCACGTCCATGTCCACGTCCACGTCCACGTCCACGTCCATGTCCACGTCCACGTCCACGTCCACGTCTATGTCCACGTCCACGTCCACGTCTACGTCCATGTCCACGTCCACGTCCATGTCCATGTCCACGTCCAAGTCCACGTCCATGTCCACGTCCACGTCCACGTCCACAACCACGTCCACGTGCACGTCCAGGTCCACGTGCACGTGCACGTCCATTTGTACGTCCACGTCCATTTCTACGTCCACGTCCACGTCCACGTCCACGTCCACGTCCACATCCATGTCCACGTCCATGTCTACGTCCACGTCCACGTCTACGTCCACGTCCACGTCCACGTCCACGTCCACGTCCACGTCCACGTCCACGTCCAATTCTACGTCCACGTCCACGTCCACGTCTACGTCCACGTCCATGTCCATGTCCACATCCATGTCCATGTCCATCGACGTGGACATGGACGTGGACGTGGACGTGGACGTGGACATGGACATGGACGTGGACGTGGACGTGGACGTGGACATGGACGTGGACGTGGACATGGACATAGACGTGGACGTGGACGTGGACGTGGACATGGACGTGGACGTCGACGTCGACGTGGACGTGGACGTGGACGTGGACGTGGACGTGGACGTAGACGTGGACGTGGACGTGGACGTGTGGACTTGGACGTGGACGTGGACGTGGACGTGGACGTGGACGTGGACGTGGACGTGGACGTGGACATGGACGTGGACGTGGACGTGGACGTGGACATGGACATGGACGTGGACGTGGACGAGGACGTGGACGTGGACGTGGACGTAGAAATGGACGTGGACGTGGACGTGGACATGGACGTGGACGTGGACGTGGACGTGGACGTGGACATGGACGTGGACGTGGACGTGGACGTGGACGTGGACATGGACGTGGACGTGGACGTGGACATGGACGTGGACGTGGACGTGGACGTGGACGTGGACGTGGACGTGGACCTGGACGTGGACGTGGACGTGGACTTGGACGTGGACATGGACGTGGACATGGACTTGGACGTGGTCGTGGACGTGGACGTGGACATGGACGTGGACATGGACGTGGACATGGACCTGGACGTGGACGTGGACGTGGACATGGACGTGGACGTAGAAATGGACATGGACGTGGACGTGGACATGGACGTGGACGTGGACGTGGACGTGGACATGGAGGTGGACATGGACGTGGACATGGACGTGGACGTGGACGTGGACATGGACGTGGACGTGGACGTGGACATAGACGTGGACGTGGCGTTTGACATCTACTTCGTCGTGGATGTCGACGTGGACGTGGACGTGGACATGGACGTGGACGTGGACGTGGACGTAGAAATGGACCTGGACGTGGACGTGGACATGGACGTGGACGTGGACGTGGACGTGGACATGGACGTGGACATGGACGTGGACATGGACGTGGACGTGGACGTGGACATGGACGTGGACGTGGACGTGGACATAGACGTGGACGTGGACGTGGACGTGGACGTGGACGTGGACGTGGACGTGGACATGGACGTGGACATGGACTTGGACGTGGTCGTGGACGTGGACGTGGACATGGACGTGGACGTGGACGTGGACGTGGACGTGGACGTGGACATGGACGTGGACGTGGACGTAGACATAGAAATGGACCTGGACGTGGACGTGGACATGGACGTGGACGTGGACGTGGACGTGGACGTGGACATGGACGTGGACATGGACGTGGACATGGACGTGGACGTGGACGTGGACATGGACGTGGACGTGGACGTGGACATAGACGTGGACGTGGACGTGGACGTGGACGTGGACATGGACGTGGACGTGGACGTGGACGTGGACGTGGACGTGGACATAGACGTGGACGTGGACGTGGACGTGGACGTGGACGTGGACGTCGACGTCGACGTGGACGTGGACGTCGACGTGGACGTGGACGTGGACGTGGACGTGGACGTGGACGTAGACGTGGACGTGGACGTGGACGTGTGGACTTGGACGTAGACGTGGACGTGGACGTGGACGTGGACGTGGACGTGGACATGGACGTGGACGTGGACGTGGACGTGGACATGGACGTGGACGTGGACGTGGACGTAGAAATGGACGTGGACGTGGACGTGGACATGGACGTGGACGTGGACGTGGACGTGGACATGGACGTGGACGTGGACGAGGACGTGGACGTGGACGTGGACGTGGACGTGGACGTGGACATGGACGTGGACGTGGACGTGGACGTGGACGTGGACATGGACGTGGACGTGGACGTGGACGTGGACGTGGAGGAGGACGTGGACATGGACGTGGACGTGGACGTGGACGTGGACATGGACGTGGACGTGGACGTGGACGTGGACGTGGACATGGACGTGGACGTGGACGTGGACGTGGACGTGGACGTAGACGTGGACGTGGACGTGGACGTAGACATGGACGTGGACATGGACGTGGACTTGGACGTGGACGTGGACGTGGACGTGGACGTGGATATGGACGTGGACGTGGACGTGGACGTGGACATGGACGTGGACGTGGACGTGGACGTGGACGTGGACTTGGACGTGGACATGGACGTGGACATGGACATGGACGTGGACGTGGACGTGGACGTGGACATGGACGTGGACGTGGACGTGGACGTGGACGTAGACGTGGACGTGGACGTGGACGTGGACGTAGACATGGACGTGGACATGGACGTGGACTTGGACGTGGACGTGGACGTGGACGTGGAGGTGGACGTAGAAATGGACATAGACGTGGACGTGGACATAGACGTGGACGTGGACGTGGACGTGGACGTGGACATGGACGTGGACGTGGACGAGGACGTGGACGTGGACGTGGACGTGGACGTTGACGTAGACGTGGACATGGACGTGGACGTCGACGTGGACGTGGACGTGGACATGGACGTGGACGTGGACGTGGACATGGACGTGGACGTGGACATGGACGTGGACATGGACGTGGACGTGGACATGGACGTGGACGTGGACGTGGACATGGACGTGGACATGGACATGGACGTGGACATGGACGTGGACGTGGACGTAGACGTGGACGTGGACGTGGACGTGGACGTGGACATGGACGTGGACGTGGACATGGACGTGGACGCAGACGTGGACGTGGACGTGGACGTAGACGTGGACGTGGACATGGACGTGGACGTGGACGTGGACGTGGACGTGGAGGAGGACGTGGACATGGACGTGGACGTGGACGTGGACGTGGACATGGACGTGGACGTGGACGTGGACGTGGACGTGGACATGGACGTGGACGTGGACGTGGACGTGGACGTGGACGTAGACGTGGACGTGGACGTGGACGTAGACATGGACGTGGACATGGACGTGGACTTGGACGTGGACGTGGACGTGGACGTGGACGTGGATATGGACGTGGACGTGGACGTGGACGTGGACATGGACGTGGACGTGGACGTGGACGTGGACGTGGACTTGGACGTGGACATGGACGTGGACATGGACATGGACGTGGACGTGGACGTGGACGTGGACATGGACGTGGACGTGGACGTGGACGTGGACGTAGACGTGGACGTGGACGTGGACGTGGACGTAGACATGGACGTGGACATGGACGTGGACTTGGACGTGGACGTGGACGTGGACGTGGAGGTGGACGTAGAAATGGACATAGACGTGGACGTGGACATAGACGTGGACGTGGACGTGGACGTGGACGTGGACATGGACGTGGACGTGGACGAGGACGTGGACGTGGACGTGGACGTGGACGTTGACGTAGACGTGGACATGGACGTGGACGTCGACGTGGACGTGGACGTGGACATGGACGTGGACGTGGACGTGGACATGGACGTGGACGTGGACATGGACGTGGACATGGACGTGGACGTGGACATGGACGTGGACGTGGACGTGGACATGGACGTGGACATGGACATGGACGTGGACATGGACGTGGACGTGGACGTAGACGTGGACGTGGACGTGGACGTGGACGTGGACATGGACGTGGACGTGGACATGGACGTGGACGCAGACGTGGACGTGGACGTGGACGTAGACGTGGACGTGGACATGGACGTGGACGTAGACGTGGACGTGGACGTGGACGTGGACGTGGACATGGACGTGGACATGGACGTGGACTTGGACGTGGACGTGGACGTGGACGTGGACATGGACGTGGACGTGGACGTGGACGTGGACGTGGACGTAGAAATGGACGTGGACGTGGACGTGGACATGGACGTGGACGTGGACGTGGACGTGGACATGGACGTGGACGTGGACGAGGACGTGGACGTGGACGTGGACGTGGACGTGGACATGGACGTGGACGTGGACGTGGACGTGGACGTGGACATGGACGTGGACGTGGACGTGGACATGGACGTGGACGTGGACGTGGACGTGGACGTGGACGTAGACATGGACGTGGAGGAGGACGTGGACATGGACGTGGACGTGGACGTGGACGTGGACGTGGACGTGGACGTGGACATGGACGTGGAGGTGGACGTGGACGTGGACGTGGACGTGGACGAGGACATGGACGTGGACGTGGACGTAGAAATGGACGTGGACGTGGACGTGGACATGGACATGGACGTGGACGTGGACGTGGACGTGGACGTGGACATGGACATGGACGTGGACGTGGACGTGGACGTGGACGTGGACGTGGACGAGGACGTAGACGTGGACATGGACGTAGACGTGGACCTGGACATGGACGTAGACATGAACGTGGACGTGGACGTGGACAGGGACGTGGACATGGACGTGGACGTGGACGTGGACGTAGACGTGGACGTAGAAATGGACGTGGACGTAGACGTGGACATGGACGTGGACGTAGACGTGGACATGGACATGGACGTAGACGTGGACGTGGACGTGGACGTGGACATGGACGTGGACATGGACGTGGACATGGACGTGGACGTGGACGTGGACGTGGACGTGGACGTGGACGTGGACGTAGACGTGGACGTGGACGTGGACGTGGACGTGGACGTGGACATGGACGTGGACTTGGACGTGGACTTGGACGTGGACGTGGACGTGGACGTGGACGTGGACATGAACGTGGACATGGACGTGGACGTGGACGTGGACGTGGACGTGGACGTGGACGTGGACGTGGACGTAGACGTGGACATGGACGTGGACATGGACGTGGACGTGGACGTGGACGTGGACATGGACGTAGACGTGGACATGGACGTGGACTTGGACGTGGACGTGGACGTGGACGTGGACGTGGACGTGGACATGAACGTGGACATGGACGTGGACGTGGACGTGGACGTGGACGTGGACGTGGACGTAGACGTGGACGTGGACATGGACGTAGACGTGGACCTGGACATGGACGTAGACATGAACGTGGACGTGGACGTGGACAGGGACGTGGACATGGACGTGGACGTGGACGTGGACGTAGACGTGGACGTAGAAATGGACGTGGACGTAGACGTGGACATGGACATGGACGTGGACGTAGACGTGGACATGGACATGGACGTAGACGTGGACGTGGACGTGGACGTGGACATGGACGTGGACATGGACGTGGACATGGACGTGGACGTGGACGTGGACGTGGACGTGGACGTGGACGTAGACGTGGACGTGGACGTGGACGTGGACGTGGACGTGGACATGGACGTGGACTTGGACGTGGACTTGGACGTGGACGTGGACGTGGACGTGGACGTGGACATGAACGTGGACATGGACGTGGACGTGGACGTGGACGTGGACGTGGACGTGGACGTGGACGTGGACGTAGACGTGGACATGGACGTGGACATGGACGTGGACGTGGACGTGGACGTGGACATGGACGTAGACGTGGACATGGACGTGGACTTGGACGTGGACGTGGACGTGGACGTGGACGTGGACGTGGACATGAACGTGGACATGGACGTGGACGTGGACGTGGACGTGGACGTGGACGTAGACGTGGACGTGGACGTGGACATGGACGTGGACGTAGACATGGACGTGGACGTGGACGTGGACGTGGACGTAGACGTGGACGTGGACGTGGACGTAGACGTGGACATGGACGTGGACGTGGACGTAGAAATGGACGTGGACGTAGACGTGGACATGGACATGGACGTAGACGTGGACGTGGACATGGACGTGGACGTGGACATGGACGTGGACATGGACGTGGACGTGGACGTGGACGTGGACGTGGACATGGACGTGGACGTGGACATGGACATGGACGTGGACGTGGACGTGGACATGGACGTGGACATGGACGTGGACGTGGACGTGGACGTGGACGTAGACGTGGACGTAGAAATGGACGTGGACGTGGACGTGGACCTGGACCTGGACGTGGACGTGGACATGGACGTGGACGTGGCATGGACGTGGACGTGGACGTGGACATGGACGTGGACGTGGACGTGGACGTGGACGTGGACGTGGACATAGACGTGGACGTGGACGTGGACGTGGACGTCGACGTCGACGTCGACGTCGACGTGGACGTGGACGTCGACGTGGACGTGGACGTGGACGTGGACGTGGACGTGGACGTAGACGTGGACGTGGACGTGGACGTGTGGACTTGGACGTGGACGTGGACGTGGACGTGGACGTGGACATGGACGTGGACGTGGACGTGGACATGGACGTGGACATGGACATGGACGTGGACATGGACGTGGACGTGGACGTAGACGTGGACGTGGACGTGGACGTGGACGTGGACATGGACGTGGACGTGGACATGGACGTGGACGCAGACGTGGACGTGGACGTGGACGTAGACGTGGACGTGGACATGGACGTGGACGTAGACGTGGACGTGGACGTGGACGTGGACGTGGACATGGACGTGGACATGGACGTGGACTTGGACGTGGACGTGGACGTGGACGTGGACATGGACGTGGACGTGGACGTGGACGTGGACGTGGACGTGGACGTAGAAATGGACGTGGACGTGGACGTGGACATGGACGTGGACGTGGACGTGGACGTGGACATGGACGTGGACGTGGACGAGGACGTGGACGTGGACGTGGACGTGGACATGGACGTGGACGTGGACGTGGACGTGGACGTGGACATGGACGTGGACGTGGACGTGGACATGGACGTGGACGTGGACGTGGACGTGGACGTAGACATGGACGTGGAGGAGGACGTGGACATGGACGTGGACGTGGACGTGGACGTGGACGTGGACGTGGACGTGGACATGGACGTGGAGGTGGACGTGGACGTGGACGTGGACGTGGACGAGGACATGGACGTGAACGTGGACGTAGAAATGGACGTGGACGTGGACGTGGACATGGACATGGACGTGGACGTGGACGTGGACGTGGACGTGGACATGGACATGGACGTGGACGTGGACGTGGACGTGGACGTGGACGTGGACGAGGACGTGGACGTGGACATGGACGTAGACGTGGACCTGGACATGGACGTAGACATGAACGTGGACGTGGACGTGGACAGGGACGTGGACATGGACGTGGACGTGGACGTGGACGTAGACGTGGACGTAGAAATGGACGTGGACGTAGACGTGGACATGGACATGGACGTGGACGTAGACGTGGACATGGACATGGACGTAGACGTGGACGTGGACGTGGACGTGGACATGGACGTGGACTTGGACGTGGACTTGGACGTGGACGTGGACGTGGACGTGGACATGAACGTGGACATGGACGTGGACGTGGACGTGGACGTGGACGTGGACGTGGACGTGGACGTGGACGTGGACGTAGACGTGGACATGGACGTGGACATGGACGTGGACGTGGACGTGGACGTGGACATGGACGTAGACGTGGACATGGACGTGGACTTGGACGTGGACGTGGACGTGGACGTGGACGTGGACGTGGACGTGGACATGAACGTGGACATGGACGTGGACGTGGACGTGGACGTGGACGTGGACGTGGACGTAGACGTGGACGTGGACGTGGACATGGACGTGGACGTAGACATGGACGTGGACGTGGACGTGGACGTGGACGTAGACGTGGACGTGGACGTGGACGTAGACGTGGACATGGACGTGGACGTGGACGTAGAAATGGACGTGGACGTAGACGTGGACATGGACATGGACGTAGACGTGGACGTGGACATGGACGTGGACGTGGACATGGACGTGGACATGGACGTGGACGTGGACGTGGACGTGGACGTGGACGTGGACGTGGACATGGACGTGGACGTGGACATGGACATGGACGTGGACGTGGACGTGGACGTGGACATGGACGTGGACATGGACGTGGACGTGGACGTGGACGTGGACGTAGACGTGGACGTAGAAATGGACGTGGACGTGGACCTGGACCTGGACGTGGACGTGGACATGGACGTGGACGTGGCATGGACGTGGACGTGGACGTGGACATGGACGTGGACGTGGACGTGGACGTGGACGTGGACGTGGACGTGGACATAGACGTGGACGTGGACGTGGACGTGGACGTCGACGTCGACGTCGACGTCGACGTGGACGTGGACGTCGACGTGGACGTGGACGTGGACGTGGACGTGGACGAGGACGTAGACGTGGACGTGGACGTGGACGTGTGGACTTGGACGTGGACGTGGACGTGGACGTGGACGTGGACGTGGACGTGGACATGGACGTGGACGTGGACGTGGACGTACAAATGGACGTGGACGTGGACGTGGACGTGGACGTGGACATGGACGTAGACGTGGACGTGGACGTGGACGTGGACGTGGACGTGGACGTGGACCTGGACGTGGACGTGGACGTGGACTTGGACGTGGACGTGGACGTGGACATGGACGACGTGGACGTGGACGTGGACGTGGACATGGACGTGGACATGGACGTGGACATGGACGTGGACGTGGACGTGGACGTGGACGTGGACATGGACGTGGACGTGGACGTGGACGTGGACGTGGACGTAGACGTGGACATGAACGTGGACATGGACGTGGACGTGGACGTGGACGTGGACGTGGACATGGACGTGGACGTGGACGTGGACGTGGACGTGGACGTGGACGTAGACGTGGACGTGGACGTGGACATGGACGTGGACGTGGACATGGACGTGGACGTGGATCTGGACGTGGACGTAGACGTGGACGTGGACGTGGACGTAGACGTGGACATGGACGTGGACGTGGACGTAGAAATGGACGTGGACGTAGACGTGGACATGGACATGGACGTAGACGTGGACGTGGACATGGACGTGGACGTGGACATGGACGTGGACATGGACGTGGACGTGGACGTGGACGTGGACGTGGACGTGGACATGGACGTGGACGTGGACATGGACATGGACGTGGACGTGGACGTGGACGTGGACGTGGACGTGGACGTGGACATGGACGTGGACATGGACGTGGACGTGGACGTGGACGTAGACGTGGATGTAGAAATGGACGTGGACGTGGACGTGGACCTGGACCTGGACGTGGACGTGGACATGGACGTGGACGTGGACGTGGACGTGGACGTGGACGTGGACATGGACGTGGACGTGGACGTGGACGTGGACGTGGACGTGGACGTGGACATAGACGTGGACGTGGACGTGGACGTGGACGTGGACGTGGACGTGGACGTGGACGTAGACGTGGACGTGGACGTGGACGTGTGGACTTGGACGTGGACGTGGACGTGGACGTGGACATGGACGTGGACGTGGACGTGGACGTGGACGTAGAAATGGACGTGGACGTGGACGTGGACATGGACGTGGACGTGGACGTGGACGTGGACGTGGACTTGGACGTGGACGTGGACTTGGACGTGGACGTGGACGTGGACTTGGACATGGTCGTGGACGTGGTCGTGGACGTGGACGTGGTCGTGGACGTGGACGTGGACGTGGAGGTGGACGTGGACTTGGACATAAACGTGGACGTGGACGTGGACGTGGACGTGGACATGGACACGTGGACGTGGACGTGGACGTGGTCGTGGACGTGGACGTGGACATGGACCTGGACGTGGACGTGGACATGGACATGGACGTGGACGTCGACTTGGACGTGGACGTGGACGTGGACGTGGACGTGGACGTGGATGTGGTCATGGACTTGGACATGGTCGTGGACGTGGTCGTGCACGTGGACGTGGTCGTGGACGTGGACGTGGACGTGGACGTGGACGTGGACGTGGACATGGACGTGGACGTGGACGTGGACCTGGACCTGGACGTGGACGTGGACGTGGACGTGGACGTCGACGTGGACGTGGACGTGGACGTGGACGTGGACGTGGACTTGGACGTGGACTTGGACATGGTCGTGGACGTGGTCGTGGACGTGGACATGATCGTGGACGTGGACGTGGACGTGGACGTTGACGTGGACTTGGACGTGGACGTGGACGTGGACATGGTCGTGGACGTGGACGTGGACGTGGACGTGGACATGGACGTGGACGTGGACGTGGACGTTGACGTGGACGTGAACGTGGACGTGGAGGTGGACGTGGACGTGGACGTGGACGTGGACGTGTGGAGGTGGACGTGGACGTGGACGTGGACGTGGACGTGGACGTGGACGTGGACCTGGACGTGGACCTGGACGTGGACGTGGACGTGGACGTGGACGTGGACGTGGACGTGGACGTGGTCGTGGACGTGGACGTGGACGTGGACGTGGACGTGGACGTGGACGTGGACGTGGACTTGGACGTGGACTTGGACGTGGACGTGGACGTGGACGTGGACGTGAACGTGGACGTGGTCGTGGACGTGGTCGTGGACGTGGACGTGGACGTGGACGTGGACGTGGACGTGGTCGTGGACGTGGACGTGGACGTGGAAGTGGACGTGGACGTGGACGTGGAGGTGGACGTGGAGGTGGACGTGGAGGTGGACGTAGACGTGGTCGTGGACGTGGACGTGGACGTGGACGTGGACGTGGACGTGGACGTAGACCTGGACGTGGACGTGGACGTGGTCGTGGTCGTGGACGTGGACGTGGACGTGGACTTGGACGTGGACGTGGACGTGGACGTGGAGTGGACATGAACGTGGACGTGGACGTGGACGTGGACGTGGACGTGGACGTGGAGGTGGACGTGGACGTGGACGTGGACGTGGTCGTGGACGTGGACGTGGACGTGGACGTGGACATGGACGTGAACGTGGACGTGGTCGTGGACGTGGACGTGGACGTGGACGTGGACGTGGACGTGGAGGTGGATGTGGACGTGGACATAGATGTGGTCGTGGACTTGGACGTGGACGTGGTCGTGGACGTACACGTGGACTTGGACGTGGACGTGGACGTGGACGTGGACATGGACGTGGACGTGGACGTGGACGTGGACGTGGACGTACACGTGGACGTGGACGTGGACGTGGACGTACACGTGGACGTGGACGTGGACATGGACGTGGACGTGGAGGAGGACGTGGACGTGGACGTGGACGTGGACGAGGACGTGGACGTGGACGAGGACGTGGACGTGGACCTGACGTGGAGGACGTGGACATGGACGTGGACGTGGACATGGACGTGGACATGGACGTGGACGTGGACGTGGACGTGGACGTGGACGTGGACGTGGACGTGGACGTGGACGTGGACATGGTCGTGGTCGTGGACGTGGACGTGGACGTGGACGTGGACGTGGACGTGGACGTGGACCTGGACGTGGACGTGGACGTGGACGTGGACGTGGACGTGGACCTGGACGTGGACGTGGACGTGGACCTGGACCTGGACGTGGACGTGGACGTGGACGTGGACGTGGACGTGGACTTGGACGTGGACGTGGACGTGGACGTGGACTTGGACGTGGACGTGGACATGGACGTGGACGTGGACGTGGACGTGGACGTGGACGTGGACACGTGGACGTGGACGTGGACGTGGTCGTGGACGTGGACGTGGACGTGGACGTGGACGTGGACGTGGACGTGGACGTGGATATGGACGTGGACGTGGACGTGGACATGGACGTGGACGTGGACGTGGACATGGACGTGGACGTGGACGTGGACGTGGACGTGGACGTGGACATGGACGTGGACGTGGACGTGGACATGGACGTGGACGTGGACGTGGACATGGACGTGGACGTGGTCGTGGACGTGGACGTGGACGTGGACGTGGACGTGGACTTGGACGTGGACTTGGACGTAGACGTGGACGTGGACGTGGACGTGAACGTGGACGTGGTCGTGGACGTGGTCGTGGACGTGGACGTGGACGTGGACGTGGACGTGGTCGTGGACGTGGACGTGGACGTGGACGTGGACGTGGAGGTGGACGTGGAGGTGGACGTGGAGGTGGACGTAGACGTGGTCGTGGACGTGGACGTGGACGTGGACGTGGACGTGGACGTGGACCTGGACGTGGACGTGGACGTGGTCGTGGTCGTGGACGTGGACGTGGACGTGGACTTGGACGTGGACGTGGACGTGGACGTGGACGTGGAGTGGACATGAACGTGGACGTGGTCGTGGACGTGGACGTGTACGTGGACGTGGACGTGGACGTGGACGTGGACGTGGACGTGGAGGTGGACGTGGACGTGGACGTGGACGTGGTCGTGGACGTGGACGTGGACGTGGACGTGGACGTGGACGTGGACATGGACGTGAACGTGGACGTGGTCGTGGACGTGGACGTGGACGTGGACGTGGACGTGGACGTGGACGTGGAGGTGGATGTGGACGTGGACATAGACGTGGTTGTGGACTTGGACGTGGACGTGGTCGTGGACGTACACGTGGACTTGGACGTGGACGTGGACGTGGACGTGGACATGGACGTGGACGTGGACGTGGACGTGGACGTGGACGTACACGTGGACGTGGACGTGGACGTGGACGTACACGTGGACGTGGACGTGGACATGGACGTGGACGTGGAGGAGGACGTGGACGTGGACGTGGACGTGGACGAGGACGTGGACGTGGACGAGGACGTGGACGTGGACCTGGACGTGGAGGACGTGGACATGGACGTGGACGTGGACATGGACGTGGACATGGACGTGGACGTGGACGTGGACGTGGACATGGACGTGGACGTGGACGTGGACGTGGACGTGGACGTGGACATGGACGGACGTGGTCGTGGACGTGGACGTGGTCGTGGACGTGGACGTGGACGTGGACGTGGACGTGGACGTGGACGTGGACGTGGACGTGGACCTGGACGTGGACGTGGACGTGGACGTGGACGTGGACGTGGACTTGGACGTGGACGTGGACGTGGACGTGGACTTGGACGTGGACGTGGACGTGGACGTGGACATGGACGTGGACGTGGATGTGGACGTGGACGTGGACGTGGACGTGGACGTGGACGTGGACACGTGGACGTGGACGTGGACGTGGACGTGGACATGGTCGTGGACGTGGACGTGGACGTGGACGTGGACGTGGACGTGGACGTGGACTTGGACGTGGACGTGGACGTGGACGTGGACATGGACGTGAACGAGGACGTGGTCGTGGACGTGGACGTGGACGTGGACATGGACGTGGACGTGGACGTGGACGTGGAGGTGGACGTGGACGTGGACGTGGACGTGGACGTGGTCGTGGACGTGGACGTGGACGTGGACGTGGACGTGGTCGTGGACGTGGAGGTCGACGTGGAGGTGGACGTGGACGTGGACGTGGACGTGGACGTGGAGGTGGACGTGGACGTACACGTGGACGTGGACGTGGACGTGGACGTACACGTGGACGTACACGTGGACGTGGACGTGGACGTGGACGTGGACGTGGACATGGACGTGGACGTGGACGTGGTTGTGGACGTGGACGTGGAGGACGTGGCCGTGGACGTGGACGTGGAGGACGTGGACGTGGACATGGACGTGGACGTGGACGTGGACGTGGACCTGGACGTGGACATGGACGTGGACGTGGACGTGGACGTGGACGTACACGTGGACGTGGACGTGGACGTGGACGTACACGTGGACGTGGACGTGGACATGGACGTGGACGTGGACGTGGACGTGGACGTGGACGTGGACATGGACGTGGTTGTGGACGTGGACGTGGAGGACGTGGACGGGGACGTGGACGTGGAGGACGTAGACGTGGACATGGACGTGGACGTGGACGTGGACGTGGACGTGGACATGGACGTGGACGTGGACGCGTGGACGTGGACGTGGACGTGGACATGGACATGGACGTGGTCGTGGTCGTGGACGTGGACGTGGACGTGGACGTGGTCGTGGACGTGGACGTGGACGTGGACGTGGACATGGACATGGACGTGGACGTGGACGTGGACGTGGACGTGGACGTGGACATGGACGTGGACGTGGACGTGGACGTGGAGATGGACGTGGACATGGACGTGGACGTGGACGTGGACGTGGACGTGGTCGTGGACGTGGACATGGACGTGGACGTGGACGTGGACGTGGAGGTGGACGTGGACGTAGACGTGGACGTGGACGTGGACGTGGACGTGGAGGACGTGGACGTGGACGTGGACGTGGAGGACGTGGACGTGGACATGGACGTGGACGTGGACGTGGACGCGGACGTGGAGATGGACGTGGACGTGGACGCGTGGACGTGGACGTGGACGTGGACGCGGACATGGACGTGGACGTGGACGTTGTCGTGGTCGTGGCCGTGGACGTGGACGTGGACATGGTCGTGGACGTGGACGTGAACGTGGACGTGGACGTGGACGTGGACGTGGACATGGACGTGGACGTGGACGTGGACGTACACGTGGACGTGGACGTACACGTGGACGTGGACGTGGACGTGGACGTGGACCTGGACGTGGACGTGGACGTGGACGTGGACGTGGACGTGGACGTGGAGATGGACGTGGACGTGGACATGGACGTGGACGTGGACATGGACGTGGACGTGGACGTGGACGTGGACGTGGACGTGGACGTGGACGTGGACGTGGACGTGGACGTGGAGGTGGACATGGTCGTGGAGGTGGACGTGGACGTGGACGTGGACCTGGTCGTGGACGTGGACGTGGACGTGGACTTGGACGTGGACGTGGACGTGGACTTGGACGTGGACGTGGACGTAGACGTGGACGTGGACGTGGACGTGGACGTGGTCGTGGAGGTGGACGTGGACGTGGACGTGGACGTGGTCGTGGACGTGGACGTGGACGTGGACGTGGACGTGGACGTAGACGTGGACGTGGACGTGGACGTGGACGTGGACGTGGACGTACACGTGGACGTGAACGTGGACGTGGACGTGGACGTGGACATGGACGTGGACGTGGACGTGGACGTGGAGATGGACGTGGACATGGACGTGGACGTAAACGTTGACGTGGACGTGGACGTGGACGTGGACGTGGACGTGGACCTGGACGTGGACGTGGACGTGGACGTGGACTTGGACGTGGACGTGGACGTGGACGTGGACGTGGACATGGACGTGAACGTGGACGTGGTCGTGGCTGTGGACGTGGACGTGGACGTGGACGTGGTCGTGGACGTGGACGTGGACGAGGACGTGGACGTGGAGGTGGACGTGGACGTGGACGTGGAGGTGGACGTGGACGTGGACGTGGTCGTGGACGTGGACGTGGACGTGGACGTGGACGTGGACGTGGACATGGACGTGGACGTGGACGTGGACGTGGACGTGGACGTGGACATGGACGTGGACGTGGACGTGGACGTGGACGTGGACCTGGACGTGGACGTGGACGTGGACGTGGAGGACGTGGACGTGGACGTGGACGTGGAGGACGTGGACGTGGACATGGACGTGGATGTGGACGTGGACGTGGACATGGACGTGGACGTGGACGCGTGGACGTGGACGTGGACGTGGACGTGGACATGGACGTGGACGTGGACGTGGTCGTGGTCGTGGACGTGGACGTGGACATGGTCGTGGACGTGGACGTGGACGTGGACGTGGACGTGGACGTGGACATGGACGTGGACGTGGACGTGGACGTACACGTGGACGTGGACGTGGACGTGGACGTGGAGATGGACGTGGACATGGACGTGGACGTGGACGTGGACGTGGACGTGGTCGTGGACGTGGACGTGGACGTGGACATGGACGTGGACGTGGACGTGGACGTGGAGGTGGACGTGGACGTGGACATAGACGTGGTCGTGGACGTGGACGTGGACGTGGTCCTGGACGTGGACGTGGACGTGGACGTGGACATGGACGTGGACGTGGACGTGGTCGTGGTCGTGGACGTGGACGTGGACGTGGACGTGGAGATGGACGTGGACGTGGACGTGGACGTGGACGTGGAGATGGACGTGGACGTGGACGTGGACGTGGACGTGGACGTGGACGTCGACGTGGTCGTGGACGTGGACGTGGACGTGGACGTGGTCGTGGACGTGGACGTGGACTTGGACGTGGTCGTGGACGTGGACGTGGACTTGGACGTGGTCGTGGACGTGGTCGTGGACGTGGACATGGTCGTGGACGTGGACGTGGACGTGGACGTGGACGTGGACGTGGACTTGGACGTGGACGTGGACGTGGACGTGGACATGGACGTGGACGTGGACTTGGACGTGGACGTGGACGTGGACGTGGACGTGGACATGGTCGTGGTCGTGGACGTGAACGTGGACGTGGACGTGGACGTGGACATGGTCATGGACGTGGACGTGGACGTGGACGTGGACGTGGACATGGTCGTGGACCAGGCACGCTCCTGGACCAGGCACGCTCCTGGACCAGGCAAGCTCCTGGACCACGCAAGCTCTTGGACCTTTCATGCTTCTCGACCAAGAAAGCTCCTGGACAAGGCAAGCTCCTGGACCACGCAAGCTCTTGGACCAGGCACGCTCCTCGACCAGGCAAGCACTTGGACCAGGCAGGCTTCTGGACCAAGCAAGCTCCTGGACCAGGCAAGCTCCTGGACCAGGCACGCTCCTGGACCAGGCTAGCTTTTGGACCAGGCAAGCTCTTGGACCAGGCAAGCTCCTGGACCAAGCAAGCTCCTGGACCAGGCAAGCTCCTAGACCAGGCAAGCTCCTGGACGAGGCAAGCTCCTGGAACAGGCACGCTCGTGGACCAGGCACGATCTTGGACCAGGCAAGCCCTTGGACTAGGCAGGCTCGTGGATCAGGCACGCTCCTAGACCAGGCAAGCTCCTGGACCAGGCAAGCTCCTGGACCAGGCAAGCTTTTAAACCAGACACGCTCCTGGACCAGGCACGCTCCTAGACCAGGAACGCTCCTTGACCAGGCACGCTCCTAGACCAGGCACGCTCCTGGACCAGGCAAGCTCCTGGACCACGCAAGCTCATGGACCTTTCATGCTTCTCGACCAAGCAAGCTCCAGGACCAGGCAAGCTCCTAGACCACGCAAGCTCTTGGACCAGGCACGCTCCTCGACCAGGCAAGCACTTGGACCAGGCAGGCTTCTGGACCAAGCAAGCTCCTGGACCAGGCACGCTCCTGGACCAGGCAAGCTTTTGGACCAGGCAAGCTCTTGGACCAGGCAAGCTCCTGGACCAAGCAAGCTCCTGGACCAGGCAAGCTCGTGGACCAGGCAAGCTCGTGGACCAGGCAAGCTCGTGGACCAGGCAAGCTCCTGGAGCTCCTGGACCAGGGAGGCTCGTGGACCAGGCAAGCTCTTGGACTAGGCACCCTCGTGGACCAAGCACGATTCCGGACCAGGCAAGCTCCTTGACCAGGCAAGCTCCTGGACCACGCAAGCTCTTGGACCTGGCAAGCTTCTGGACCAAGGAAGCTCCTGGACCAGGCACACTCCTGGACCAAGCACGCTCATGGACAAGGCAAGCTCCTGGATCAGGCAAGCTCCTGCACCAAGCAAGCTCCTGGACCAGGCACGCTTGTGGACCAGGCAAGCTCCTGGACAAGGCAAGCTACTGGACCACGCAATCTCTTGGACCAGGCATGCTCTTGGACCAGGCAAGCTCTTGGCCGAGGAACGCTTCTGGAACAAGCAAGCTCCTGGACCAGGCAAGCTCCTGGACCAGCAAGCTCGTAGACCAGGCAAGCTCCTGGACCAGGCAAGCTCCTGGACCACGCAAGCTCCTGGACTAGGCAAGCTCTTGGTCCAGGCAAGCTCCTGGACAAGGCAAGCTCCTGGACCAGGCAAGCTCCTCGACCAGGCACGCTCCTCGACCAGGCACGCTCTTCGACCAGGCAAGCTCTTGGACTAGGCACGCTCCTGGACCAAGCAAGCTCTTAGACCAGGCAGGCTTCTGGACCAAGCAAGCTCCAGGACCAGGCACACTCCTTGACCAGGCACGCTCCTCGACAAGGCAAGCTCCTGGAAAAGACAAGCTCCTGGACCACGCAAGCTCTTAGACCAGGCACACTCCTGGACCAGGCACGCTCCTGGACTAGGCAAGCTCCTAGACCAGGCAAGCTCCTGGACAAGGCAAGCTCGTGGACCACTCACGCTCCTGGACCACACAAGCTCCTAGACCAGGCAAGCTCCTGGACGAGGCAGGCTCCTGGACTAGGCAAACTCGTGGACCAGGCACGCTCCTGGACCAAGCAAGATCCTGGACAAGGCAAGCTCATGGACGAAGCAAGCTCCTGGATCACGCAAGCTCCTGGACCAAGCACGCTCCTGGACCAGGCAAGCTCCTAGATCAGGCAAGGTCGTGGACCAGGCAAGCTCCTGGACCAGGCACGCTCCTGGAGTAGGCAAGCTCCTGGACCAGGCAAGCTCCTGGACCAGGCACGCTCCTGGACCAGGCAAACTCGTCAACCAGGCAAGCTCCTGGACCATGCAAGCTCCTGGACTAGGTAAGCTCTTGGACAAGGCACGCTCCTGGACCACGCAAGCTCCTGGACCATGCAAGCTCCTGTACTAGGCAAGCTCGTGCACCAGGCACGCTCCTGGACCAGGCAAGCTCCTAGATTAGGCAAGCTACTGGACCAAGCAAGCTCCTGGACCTGGCAAGCTCCTGGACCAGGCAAACTCGTGCACCAAGCAAGCTCGTGGACCAGACAAGCACCTGGACTAGGCAAGCTCCTGGACCAGGCAAACTCCTGGACCAGGCAAGTTCGTGGATCACGCACGCTCTTGGACCAGGCAACCTCCTGGACCAGGCAAGCTCCTGGACCAGGCAAGCTCCTGGACCTGGCAAGCTCCTAGACCGGGAAAGCTCCTGGACCAGGCAAGCTCGTGGACCAGGCAAGCTCGTGGACCAGGCAAGCTCGTGGACCAGGCAAGCTCCAGGATCAGGCAAGCTCCTGGACCAGGCAGGCTCGTGCACCAGGCAAGCTCCTGGACCAGGCACCCTCGTGGACCAGGCACGATTCCGGACCAGGCAAGCTCCTTGACCAGGCAAGCTCCTGGACCACGCAGGCTCTTGGACCTGGCAAGCTCCTGGACCACGCAAGCTCTTGGACCAGGCACGCTCCTGCAGAAAGCAAGCTCTTGGACCAGGCAGGCTTCTCGACCAAGCAAGCTCCTGGAACAGGCAAGCTCCTGGACCAGGAAAGCTCCTGGACCAGGCAAGCTCCTTGACCGGGCAAGCTCTTGGACCATTCACGCTCCTGGACCAAGCAAGCTCTTGGACGAGGCAAGCTGTTAGTCCACGCAAGCTCCTGGACCAAGCAAGCTCCTGGACCAGGCAAACTCGTGGACCAGGCAAGCTCCTGGACCAGGCAAGCTCCTGGACCAGGCAAGCTCCTAGACCAGGCAAGCTCCTGGACCAGGCAAGCTCTTGGACCAGGCAAATTCGTGGACCAGGCAAGCTCCTGAACCACGCAAACACGTGGACCAGGCACGCTCCTGGACCAGGCAAGCTCCTGGACCAGGCAAGATCCTAGACCAGGCAAGCTCCTGGACCACGCAAGCTCCTGGACCGCGCAATCTTGTGGACCAGGCACGCTCCTGGACCAAGCAAGCTCCTGGACCAGGCAAGCTCCTGGACCAGGCAAGCTCTTGGACCAGGCACGCTCCTGGACCAAGCAAGCACTTGGACCAGGCAAGTTGTTGGACCAGGCAAGCTCCTATTTTTGGCAAGCTCCTTGACCAGGCAAGCTTGTGAACCAAGCACGCTCCTGGACCTGGCAAGCTCCTGGACCAGGCAAGCTCCAAGACAAGGCAGGCTCCTGGACCAGGCAAGCTCCTAGACCAGGCAAGCTCCTGGACCAGGGAAGCTCCCGGACCAGGCAAGCTCCTGGACCAGGCAAGATCCTGGACCAGGCAAGCTCTTGGACCAGGCAAGCTCTTGGACCAGGCAAGCTCGTGGACCAGGCATGCTCCTGGACCAGGCAAGATCCTAGACCAGGCAAGCTCCTGGACCAGGCAAGCCCTGGATCAGGCAAGCTCCTGGACCAGGCACGCTCCTGGTTCAGGCAAGCTGTTAGACCAGGCAAGCTCCTAGACCAGGCAAGCTCCTAGACCAGGCAAGCTCCTAGACCAGGCAAGCTCCTAGACCAGGCAAGCTCCTGGACCTCGCAAGCTCCTAGACCAAGCAAGCTCCTGGACCAGGCAAGCTCCTTGACCAGGGAAGCTCCCGGACCATGCAATCTCTTTGACCAGGCAAGCTCGTGGACCAGGCAAGCTCCTGGACCAGGCAAGCTCTTGGACCAATCAAGCTCCTGGACCAGGCAAGCTCATGGACCTGGCACGCTCCTAGACCACGCAAGCTCCTGGACCAGGCAAGCTCGTGGACTAGGCAAGCTCCTAAACCAAGCACGCTCCTGGACCAGGCCCGCTCCTAGACCAGGTAAGCTCCTAAACCAGACAAGCTCCTAGACCAGGCAAGGTTCTAGACCAGGCAAGCACCTGGACCAGGCAAGCTCGTGGACAAGGCAAGCTCCTGGACCAGACAAGCTCTTGGACCAGGCAAGATCTTGGACCAGGCAAGCTCTTCGACCAGGCAAGCTCTTGGACTAGGCAAGGTCTTGGACCAGGCAAGCTCCTAGACCAGGCAAGCTCTTAGACTAGGCAAGCTCCTAGACCAGGCAAGCTCTTGGACCAGGCAACCTCCTAGACCAGGCAAGCTCCTGGACCACGCATGCTCCTGGACCAGGCAAGCTCTTGGACATGGCAAGCTCCTGGACCAGGCAAGCTCCTGAAGGAAGCAAGCTTCTGGCCCAAGCGAGCTCTTGGACCAGTCACGCTCGTGGACCAGGCAAGCTGTTGGACCAGGCAAGCTCCTGGACCGGGCAAGCTCCTGGACCAGGCGAGCTCTTGAACCAGGAATGCTCCTAGACTAGGAAAGCTCCTAGATCAAGCAAGCTCCGCGACCAGGCAAGCTCCTGGACCAGGCAAGCTCCTGGACCAGGCAAGCTCCTGGACCAGGCAAGCTCTTGGACCAGGCAAGCTCCTAGACCAAGCAAGCTCCTTGACCAGGCAAGCTCCTGGACCACACAAGCTCCTGGACCACGCAAGCTCTTGGACCAGGCAAGCTCTTGGACCAGGCAGGCTTCTAGACCAAGCAAGCTCTTGGCACAGGAACGCTCCTGGACGAGGCAAGCTTTTGGACCACGCAAACACGTGGACCAGGAACGCTCCTGGACCAGGCAAGCTCCTAGACCAGGCAAGCTCCTAGACCAGGCAAGCTACTGGACTAGGCAAGCTCCTGGACCAGGCAAGCTCCTAGACCAGGCAAGCTCTTGGACCAGGCAAGCTCCTGGACCAGGCAAGCTCCTTGACCAGGCAAGCTCCTGGACCACGCAAGCTCCTCGACCACGCAAGCTCTTGGACCAGGCAAGCTCCTGGACCAGGCAAGCTAATGGACCATGAAAGCTCGTGGACAAGGCAAGCTCCTGGACCAGGCACGCTCGTGGAACAGGCAAGCTCCTGGACCAGGCAAGCTTTTGGACCAGGCAAACTCGTGGACCAGGAACGCGCTTGGACCAAGCAAGCTCCTAGACAAGGCAAGCTCCTAGACCAGGCAAGCTGCTGGACTAGGCAAGCTCCTGGACCAGGCAAGCTCCTTGACCGG